TTAAAATATTCTATAGAAGGATTAAATAGATATCTCGATTATCCTTAATTTTTCGTAGAATGACTTTTCTAACTACATAAGTCCAAGACCATACTGCAGTAAATATTTTGGACGGAGACTCGTTCTGTAATCATGGTGAACCTTTGAATTGAATTTGCCTTCATTTACATTTTTGTCCGATAGTTTTATTATTGTTGTTGGATTGACTTCAAATCGTTATGAGAGACGAAGTACAGGTATACCGTATACCAATAAAAATACATACTTATACAACACAAGTATGACAGCCGTTAGAACTTGGCAAGAAGCGGTGGCTGAAACAAAAAAATGTTACACCGTTTTACAGTTTTACCCCTCACTGCAGGTTTATGAAAAGGCAATGTTGAAATTGTAATTAACGCTTTAATTTAATTTTTTTTTGATTGTGGGTTTAAATGGTGTGGCAAATATATACACATGTAATGTATTTATGTACATTAGGAAAATATTAATGAAATTGCTTAGGAAGGATAGCAATGCTGGATTATAGCTAAATAGTTAGGAGATATGTACAGTAAAACAATTACGAAACTCATTCTCATACGCATTCCACTAATTCTCGTTTCAGTATATTGTTTGCCGACATTGTCGGCTTTACCGTCTTGTCGTCGCAATGTAGTGCACAGGAGTTAGTAAGACTGTTGAACGAGCTGTTCGGGCGATTTGATCAACTGGCGCACGTAAGTCAATAATCAATTTCTACAACTGCGTAAATATGTATTAAAGAAATCAATTTGTTATCAAAATCTTCCAGGACAACCACTGCTTGCGCATCAAAATTCTCGGCGATTGCTACTACTGCGTTTCGGGTCTGCCTGAACCGCGTAAAGATCACGCTAAGTGCACCGTCGAAATGGGGCTGGATATGATCGATGCCATTGCGTACGTACACAACTTTTTTATACAGGACATGGAAGTTTATACGCACATACTTTTGCACTTACAACTTTCTTTTTTTTATTTCTTCTACAGCACCGTGGTGGAGGCCACCGATGTGATATTGAATATGCGTGTGGGCATACATACGGGACGGGTGCTTTGCGGTGTACTGGGGCTACGCAAATGGCAATTCGATGTCTGGTCCAACGATGTGACATTGGCCAATCACATGGAATCGGGTGGAGAACCGGGGCGAGTGCATGTTACACGCGCCACACTTGACGCTCTATCGGGCGAATATGAAGTTGAAGCAGGACATGGCGATCAGCGTTCGTCGTATCTACGTGATCATGGTGTGGATACGTATTTCATAGTGCCACCACCTCATCGGCGAAAGGTGAATGATTTTAAAATATCTTACGACACTGAACTCACATAAAGTGCATAGACCTACTTTCAGTTGCTGTATGGCCATCATTTACTTATTCATAACTTTTTTTTTGCTTTCTGTTCTATTCTCTATGGTTGCAGCCATTAATGCTAAATACGCTTGGTGTACGCTCGGCCATTGGTAGTCGTCGCAAATTGTCATTTCGTAATGTCTCGAATGTTGTGATGCAACTATTGCATACGATAAAATTTTCGGAGCCAGTACCATTTTCCAACATTGCCACCGGGTCGTTTCCATCATCGGCCGGCA